TTTTTTGCCTGGGACTGTTGTCAGACTGTCATCCTCACACCTGTGTCTTCTGTGATTACTGTCTTGCATAAGAACACCCTGCTTGTTTGTGGAGATTCAGTCTTGCTAACTTTTGATTGAGTTGGCCTTAGACTACAATTGCCCCAGTCTCTTCATCCTGATTAGCTAGAAATAAGTTAATATGGGCAGTGCTAAGAGGAATAAACTAACTTATATCAAAATTGTACCTTTTCTCATTTGCTAATTAAGTATTTAACTAGCAGCTATAAATTGTTTCAGTAATTCAGTAAGTAACAAAAATGTGGAAAATGTAACAGGCAAAGGAATATTTCCATATTTTCATATTTTGAGAAATTCCCAGCATGTACTTCACACATACATTTTTTCCCCTCAGTGCTGGGAATGAAACCCATAACCTTGTGAATGCTACCTAGGCACTCTACCACTGAGTATATCTCTAACCCCCTTTTACGTGTGTATATGTGTGTGTGTGCACACGCACACATGCACACGCGGGCACCAGTACCAGGGCTTGAACTCAGTGCATGAGTAATGTCCCTTAACTTTTTCCACTAAAGTCTGGTGCTCTCACTTGAGCTGCAGCTATACTTTTGGCTTTGTGTGTGTGTGTGTGTGTGGTTAACTGACTCTCCTGCCAGGCTAGCTTCAAATCTCAATTCTCAAACCTCTGCCTTCTAAGCAGCTAGAAAAATGGGTATGAAGCACCAGCACATAGACTTTCTGTTTAGTTGTTTGTGTCTTTTATGTCAGTCTTGGAGCTTGAATTCAGTGCCTGGGCATTAGCCCTGAGCTTTTGTGCTGAAGGCTAGTGCTTTACCACTTGAGCCACAACTGGTTAACTGGAGATAAGAGTATCTCAGATTTGTCTCCCCTGAATGACTTCAAACTGGGATCCTCAGATCTCAGGCTTGTGAGTAGCTAGGATTACAGGCATGAGCGATGGGTACACAGTTCTAATACAGACTTTTTTGAGGGGGGAAGGGAACCAAGAGTGAGACTTGAACTTGGTATCTGACACTTTTTCTCACTGACTGATGTTTTTGGCCTGAGCCTCACCTCTACTCCTCACATAGACTTTCTTTTTCTTTTTCTTTTCTTTTCTTTTTTTTTTTTTTTTGGCCAATGTGGCTTGAACTCAGGGCCTGGGGACTATCCCTGAGCTTCTTTTGCTCCAGGCAAGCACTCTACTACTTGAGCCACAGCGCCATTTCCAGCCTTTTAGTTTATGTGGTACTGAGGACTCGGACCCAGGGCTTCATGAATACTAGGCAATACTCTACCACTAAGCCACATTTCCAGGCCCTCACACTGACTTTTTTTTTTTTTTT